CGAAACGCCCGCGACGGACCTGGGGGCTCCTACGATCCATGGGGCTGCCGCAGCCCGAGATGGCCCCGTGCTGTGCGACTTCGGTTGCTGGGATCGTTTGAGAGGCAGCTGGTCCCCGTCCTGCCCCAAGTGACACCGGGGCACACAGTGCGAGGCCCCGTTGTGGGCGGGGGGGTTTTGTGCAGAATGCGTGTCCTGCGGCTCACGTCGGGGAGGCTGGTTTGGCCATTCTCGGCCATGGAAGATCCAGAGGACACTTCATGACCACAACTGTGGGGGCCGCGGCCCCGCACAGGACTTGGTTGGCCTCGTACTCTTGTCCGAAGTGGGCCCCGCTGGATATATTCCAAATCCTTCCGAAGACAACCGGAATGCGGCAGTATTGGATCGATTCAGATCCGGTGCGGGGTTCTTGGGGTCCGTCGTCAAGCTTGTCTAAAACAGCGGAAAAAAAGCCTGCTGCCGCAAACGGGTTTGCCCATAACGCCAAGGGTTTGCAACACAAGTCCAAGCTTCAAAACAATGGAAACCACAAGTCCAAGCTTCAAAACAATGGAAACGCTGGATCAAGGTGGCCAAACGGAATCATGTAGACTATCGGCCATTTCGGGAAACGGTGGGGGGGGGGGCCTGCCAAAATGGGGGCGGGGAGCTGCCGGAAACGTGGGGGAACTGCAGGAAAGGGAGGGGGGTGCCGTAAAAAGAGCGGGACGGACTCCCAGAAAAGGCTTGGGAAAATCACGGACAGCACTATGAAGTCCAGAAACGGGAAAGAGAACGCCAGGACTGGGGGCGGTATCACGGATGAGACGGGAAAAGCTTCCGGACAGGGGCAGGGGACCCCTGGAAACGGGGAGAAAGCCCCCAGGGGGGGGGGGGCCAGGCAGTCATCGTCATCATCATCATCAGCAGCATCATCGTCATCATGATCGGGATGGTCATCATCGGCAGCGGCACCATCAGCAACAGCATCAGCATCACCACCATTCTCCTCATCACCCGCAGCATCATTGTCACGAGCGCCATCGCATGATTAGCGCCATCAGCAGCAGCATCATCACCACCATCCTCAGCATCATCGTAGTAATCATCACCGTAACCATCACCAGCATGATTTCCGACGTTCTGCGAAGAAAGTCTGGCCGAAGGGCTGCTAGGGGCGCAGGGGCACAACGACGTGAATGCGCCCGCGCGGCCTCACATACACAAATGACAAAGCTCTCGCCCCGTTCATAAACTGCTCGCAAGGGCGGGGAGTGGGGGGAACGGGCTTGGAAGCTGCAAACCACTTCCTCCTACTATCATAACGGTTGTGCCCACATGATCTCCGACGCTCGTTTTCCAAAGCAACCCGCGTGTGAAACTTGCGAGGAAAGGCCGGCCACGCGGCGGCCAAGGGCGCCGGGGCGCGGCGGCGATGTCTCTGCACAGCGGCCCCACAAAGCCCCGAAGACATAGAGTCCTCGACCTGATCCAACCTCGCCGTTGTCGCCGCGTGTCTGAAATGCGCCTTGCCCCCCGAGCGCGCTGGTGACACAGTCGCCCAACGCACCGCGCAGCTGGAGCAAGTTGAGCAAGCCGATGGGCGCGCCGCCAGCTGACAGACAGCGCGTGGACGACGAAGGATAGGGCGGCCGCGCCCATCTGGAGATAAGTGACGCACGGTTTTGGCCTTCCCCCAGCGCCAACGGCACTGCAGCAGCTGCGGGCAGAAGCGATGGATGGCCCCACCTCTTCGCTGCGCCCCAAGTGCGCAGAGGGGGGGGTCTCCGAGGCCGACGGGGCTCTTGATGCGTCAGCCCGCGCAGTTGTCCTGGGCGCAGCGCTGCCGTCGACGAGAGGGGGCCGAAGACGCCCACCATCAACTTCAGCAGCGCAAAATCGTCGATCAAGGCGCTCTGAACTTTGGCCCTCGGCCCGATGTCTTGGCAAGGAACGGCAGGGGCGATGTCGCCATCCAGGTCCCCGGGTCGGACTTGGCGCTGCCCGAGGGCATTCGCGACCCAGTTGGGCCGCAGTAGCGAGTGGATGGCGATGGGCAGGCGCGCCGCTGTCCGGCCCCGTCCTTGCGCTATAGCAACGACGGCCAGGGCGTGGAGCATCTCGACAGGCATGGGCGTGCGCGCCCCGACCGGCTCGAAATTCCGCCGGCGAACCACCGCGGCCCAGGCTGGGCGCAGTTGGCCGCGCGTCTGGGGAAAGCGGAAGGGGGCACCAAAAAAGTATCTCGGATCCCAAAGAGACTGGCGCCTTCGGGTCGTAAACGCACTGCGCGTGGGCGGCGAACGCGGCGGTGAGCAGCTCGATATCACGCGCGACGTCGCCGAGGCAGGGCAGCCCTCGACTCTGGGGGCACAGGCTCCACGCGTCGAGCACGATGATCTACCGGCGAGCAGTGGCTGGCCCAACTGTCACTCGGAGGCCCCGCCCTGCCCGCAAAGCCGCGCGCTGCGAGAGTGCACCGAGGCGCGCGGGTGGGCCTGCTCCTGGAAATCGGAGCCAGCTGCAGAATATCCCCAGGAGCATCAGCAGCGCGGCGAGCGGCAGCGCGCGTCGAGCCGCTCGGACACCGCGTCGCACCACTCGCTGAAATACTCTGCGGCACTTCTGTCAGACGCCGTCCTCGCACTCGACGCCGCCCCCCAGGCCGAGGGACCGGCGGCTGCGATCGCATGGCCTTGCCAGCAGGGGCAGGAACGCCGAAGGTCCCTTTCCAGATGGTGGTCTCGCGCAAACGCCTGCCCCAAAAGCTCCAACCCTTGGCGCGCTCGTAGAGCGGCCCCAAGATGAGGGCCTCCTGGAGCTCCAGAGTTGCCCGCCGAAGAGATCGCCGCGGCTGCCCCCGCGGCCACAGGGCGCCCCCGCAGTCGACAGCCTTCGCGTGATCCAGCCCAGCTTCCACGCACTTGTTTCCCAGGGTCTCTCTGGGGCGCTGCCGCAGCCCCCGCGGCAGCTGGCGAGTCCGAGAGGACCGCGAGCACGAGTTCATGGGCCGCGAGAACGCCCCGCAAGGGGGCCCAAACGCGGCCGCCACCGGCCTGGGCGAGCACGCCGGGACCGGGCGATCGAACTTCTGGGCGAGCACGTCGGGGCCGGTGAGGGCCTCTAGAGTAGAGGGCCACGCACGCTGCGCGTCGCGGCTGATGACGATCCATCCGCGGCGCCCAGGGCTGCGCTGAGGGGGGCCTTCGGACCGCTGATGGCGTCGCAGCAGACGGGCGGCTGGCGGCCAAAAACCGCGCGGCTCACGCTCACTGCCCAGCCCCAGAGCTTCTCGACGGCGGCAATCGACCCCACCGCCTCGGGAGCACGCGGTCTGGTCTTAATATCGGCACCATTTGTTTGGCCATCTGCAAGATTGCGGGCGCTGCGTGCCCCAGAGGAGCGGGGGGGCCCCCTTGAACAGTAACAGCGGTCGAGTCGTGGCGAAGGTCCTGTTGGGGGCCCGACTGGACGACCGCCCTCGGACGGCAGCGCTCTGTGCAACCTGTGCTTCTATGGGCACTTAAGAGACGTTTACAATGCAAGTTTGGGCCCTTGACAGCGCGCTTGACCAGCGACCTACTGGCGATGGCCTCTCGCGTACTAATATGTCGTCGCCCCGGGAACCTGTGGCACAGCAATGTGGTAAACACTTCGGGCCCTATCCAGGCGCGGAGCAGAGTCCCTCCCGGACCCCGCCCCCCAGGACCTCGAGAGGCTTGTCGGGGTCTGCAGGTCCGGGACGCGCCGCGCATGTCCGTCGAGGAGCACGCGCCCAGAGCCGGACCGCCCCCTCCACGTTGGGCAGGCCAGACGGGACTGAGGGCGGCCTCCACCGCGAAGACCTTCCCCGCGACATCGGAGTCGAGCGAGCCCCTGAACAGAGGGAACAGGTGGCCCAGCCCCATCTTCTCGTCGATCACTGCATTCGGCAGCCGACGCCAAGCCGCGAGGCCCGCGCCGGGCGGCGAAGCCATGCGCAGAGCCCGGCTACAGAACGCACGGAGGCCCGGCGAAACATCAGATGGTGAACCCTGCGTCCGACCAGCCCACTCAGGAGAGCGACCGACGCGGCCCCGACGAGGATGCAGCGCGCGGTGACCACTCCGAGCTGCTTGGCATTCACCACCTCCCCGCCCACGTCGGGTCGCGCACCCCCCCCCCCCCAGACGACCCGGTTGGGCGCCCGCGCGTTCGCATGCCCGGCGCCCTTGCCGGACTCGCCGAAGCGCTCGCATCGGCCCCGAGGCGCCAGGGTCATCGCAGGGGCCAATGACCATGCGGTCGCCCGAGCAGACGCCCTCTCCGATTCGATCTGCGGGAAGGAGCCCGACCATAGGTGAGCCGCCCCCCTTCGCGGAGACACCCCGTGGATCGCAGGCAACGCCGATGCGCGACCTGGGCCGCCTCCGAGGCCCTCTGGCCCCCCATGACAAGAGCCGCCAATGCTGGCGCGATCCTGTCGCGACCGCGCTGGCGGAGGTCGCCCACCTCGCGGGGGGGGCCCTGCTCCGGCATCATGCTGGCCCCGAGGTCCAAGCCAAGGATGACCTCCTGGGCCCCTGCGCCCAGACACTCGTAGAAATGGAAGAAGTCCACGGCTCGCGGACATCGACAAGCACCCCCCTTCGGGAGGAGCAGCCCCGCCAACTGCGAGGCGCGAGACAGGGCGGATAGACGCTCCAGGCCAGCGCGGCGACATCGGGGGAGCTCCGCAGCAAAAGCATTTTCGCGCAGGGCCTCTCTGAAAGACTTCTCGGATGCATTGCGGCGACTCCGGTCAGATCACCCTCAACCCGCGGCCGCCCTCCCTCTCCGCGCCGGAGAGCCCCTGCGAGGACAGGGGCACCCGCGCGCGGTTGGAGGCTCTCCGGACGCCGGGCCGCACAAGCGGAGCCCCTTGCACGCGCTGCCACCGCAGCGCAATGTTCGCGCCCATGCACGCGGGAGGCAGCCGACTGGAAAGGCGACTTGGCTCAAGGTCAAAGACGCGGGGCGCGCGGGAGATGAAGCCGGACTCAGGCGCGACTGGCGCCCCCGGGCAAGATCGTCGCACTGCTGAACGGGATGTCGAGGTTGGCAGTGGCGAGGGCGAAACGCCCCTCAAAATTGGCACTGGTTCCCACATGCGAATCGCCCATGAGCCCTGTCGCAGTCCAATGGGTGTCAGCGACGCCACCAGACGGGAGCGGCATTGACTTTCCTGCACGGCGTCGACCTGGATACCTGTCACCAAGCTGGCGCACCAGCTGCCAATGACGTCCGGCGAAGGGCGCGGCGAGGCTGGGCCCGTCGACCCACCCGCGGGGCGCCCAAGGGAGAGCCAGAAGAGATAGGCCACGGACTCGCTGGTCTCTCCCGAAGCCGCCGCGCGCGTCTCTGCGGCGCCCGCGGCGCAGCTCCACTCTCACGCCACTCGAAGGAAGCCCGAAGGCCATGAGCAGCTCTTGACATGGCCGGGGGGGCGACGACCCGTCGGAGTGATTTCGGAGACCGCCGCCTCGAGGGAGGCACAGAGCGAGGCCGGCAGGCCAGATGCAACATGAGCGCAGGTCACCGAGTCCACGGTGGCCCGCGCAGTCGGAGTCGTAGGTGGCGGCAGAAAGGCTACACTCCAGAGCTGGCCTCCCTCGGTGTTCCGATGAGCTTCGGACCCATCTGGAGACGATCGATCGCCCCCCCCGCCACCGCCGCCGCCATCCTGCTCCTTCTTGTTGGTGCACTTGTTCGACTTCTTGTCCCCGGCGCGGCCCTCGCCGGCGCAGCCCGAGGCGGCGCCGCAGCCTCCTCTCTAGAGATCGCACTCGAGTGTTTCCGTCTCGCGCATACATGCGAACGAGGCTGCAAACTCTGCGGGGCACGCGAGGCCTCGCGCCGCCCGGCCCGCTGTTGGGCCGCGGGCCTAGGCGCCCAGTGACGAGCCAGGCTGGCCGCGAGGAGCCGCTCGGGTTCACTGACTGCCGCGCGGCTTCCAGAGACTGGCCCACCCGGGCGCCGAGGAGGTCGCGCTGCGGCGGCCTGCGCAGCGCGTGGAGGGACGCGAGCACATCTCAGAAGCGCTCGTGGTACTCGAGGCGCCCGAGTCTGATCCTCTGCCTGCCCTAGAGCGTCGCGCCCCACGACCTGCCTGCGCCGTCGCAGCCGAACTCGGCGAAGGCCGCGGCGTCGGCGCGGGCAGACCACGCCGCGGTTCGCGCTCGATGGCCTGCTGAGCGCTGGGAGCCCTGCTGCTCCCTTGGAACTGCTGATCCCGGCCACTGGGCCCGCCTCTCCAGAGGTCGCCCAGGGCGGGGTCGTCCTCCTTCACTTTCTTGAAACCGCCGACCTTCTCCAGCGCCCGCGGCGTCGCAAGCTGGGCGGCCTCGCCTGCGTCGCAGCCGCGCGCCTCGACGAGGGCCCCGAGGTCGAGTCGGCCCACCTCACTGGCGCCGCGCGGCTGCCGTGCTCGCGCGGAGGGGGCCCGTCGGCCCGCCCGAGCAGCCCCCGAGCCGCCGCTGGGCCTGCTCTGCCGCCCTAAACGCAGGAGAGCAGAAAGCCGACACCAACGCCAAGAAAGCATTTGTTCCGCGAGAAATTGAATTACGCATTGGGCCAGCGCAACCCCGCCCTGGCCCGAGGAAACGCAACGCGGCCGGGGGGGGCGGGGGAAGGGAGATGTCGCGCAGCAGGTAAGAGAGAGAGAGAGAGAGAGAGAGAGAGAGAGAGAAAGAAACAAAAAAAAGGAAACAACAAGTGCGAGCGAGAAGCGAAACTGGCGGGCGCTCTCGGGAGAGGACGGAGAAAAGAAGGAATAATGCGGCATCCTCCATGACCGAAGCCTCACCCACCCACCGCGCCCGCTCGCCCCCATCACATGCCCCCCCCCCTCCCCGCGCCCTCCCTCTGTCCGCCCGCGTCGCATCCCTGGCCATCGATTTGCCCGAAGCCAGCACCCGACGATTACGAACCGCCTACTCCCCGCGAGCTGGGGCGGCGGCCGCCCTGCGCGTCTGGGGCCAAAGTTCCCACATCTTCGAAGGGTTCAGCTCGCCCACGGGGCCGCCCTTCCAGAGGGGGCCTCGGTGCTGGCGTCGACTTCTTGATGTAGCAGGGAACGGAAATCCGGCACCAGCACCAAGACGCCACTGGAAAAGTTGGGAGCACTTCCCCCGTGGGGGCTAAGCGACCCAAAGGAGCCTGGAAAGCTTGAGATGGCTCGCATTGCTCTCCGGACTTGCAGGCCAGGGGGCTTGCATGATAGAAAAGCGCCCCATGGGGCTCATGGCGCCCCTAGGGCCCATGGGGCCCCATGGTCCGCAAGGCCCAGAAACCCGATGTGGCACCGACGAGTCAGGGCGCCCATGGGGCCCGCGCGGCTCGCTGGGCCAGCGCAGCGCATTGGGCCTATGCGCACTGCGGCGCACGTGAGGCCCATGAAACCTTTGTGGGAGTTGCGGGGTTCATCGGGCCAGCTGGGTTCGCGCGGCCCACGAGCCTCGCGCGGCCCATGGAAATCCAAACACCCAGCTGGGGAAATAGAAACAGCCCGCCCGCCTTGCCCCCACGCGCTCAGAGCTGTCACTAATCAGCGCGGGACACGCGAGCCCGAAGACACGGGCGACGGCAGTCAACAGAGGCCATGATTCTTGTTTTTCAATGGGATCTCGGCGTTGGCGTCGCGGCCCGGCGCGCCGAGAACGGGGGGGGGGGCGTCGGGGCGGACCGCGCCCCCAGAAGCTGAGCCTATGTCCTGAGCGGCGCCGCGGGCGAGCTCTGATAAGGGGATCTGCTCGGGACTTAAGGGGGGCCGGCGCCAGCGCGCTCGCGGAGGGCCCCGCCTGGGGGAGCGACCCCAAGGCCACGGGCCTCCACGCTTCTCTTCTCGACCTGGTCGATTCGACTGGAGAAGTCCCCAACTGGCCGCCGACGTCGCTCTGCAGGCCGCCGTGCGACACGTTGACGCGCCGAGGCGTATTGGGTCAAGGCGCCCACGCCGACGGGGCCATCGGACTTCGCAAACTTGGCGCCGCGGCGCCAGCGGCTCGGGCCCGGGCCATCGGCAGCTCGAGCCGCCACAGCGCAGCAGGACGACTCCAGCCGGCTGCAGCGCACCTGATGGTCGCATCGTCGTTGCGCCCTGGTCCAGTCGAATACCTGCACGGCTTATGCGAAGCCCCGATGTTCGTTGAAAGACCTGTCGATTGCCTAGCCCAGTAACGGGAGCCGGCGCAGGCGGTCCCGCCCGCTAGCCTACCTGCCGTCTCCGAGTCGGGCGACGATCGCTTGCCGCGAAAACGCGCCTCCCCTGCGCACCCCGACGGGGTCCCCGCTCGAACCTAGGGCGGAACAGATTGCGCAGCGGTGGCTGCCAGCGGCAGGGGCGGTCTGGACCACAGGTTAAATGCCTGCCGCCCCCTGTGGCGGCCCTGCATTTTCCAGCGGCCTCCTCGCCGCTGGAAAATGGCTTTGAATAGGCCTAGAATCCAGGGGCAGGCTCGTGGACCACCCGCGCCCGGGCCACGGGTCCCCCGCGCAGCAACAGCTGGCGCGCCCAGCGCGCAGCGTGGGGCGGGCCCGATCCGAGAAAGCTGCACATGACGCCCTTCCACGATGAGCACCGCCATCATCAGCAGCAGCAGCAGCATCAGCATCATCAGCGTAATGAGCAGTAACAGCAGCATCACCATCGTCATCATCACCAGCACCAGCCCATCATCATCATCATTATTGCCATCATCCTCCTCACTCATCATCAACAGCATAAGCAACATCGTCACTACCATGAATCATGACCATCGTTATCATAATCAACATCATCATAAACACCATCAACGTCATCATCCGTTCAACATCGGATTCAGAGCCATCACCACCACCATCATCATCATCATCATCATCAGCATCATCATCATCCACATCAACCTCAGCATGTCGTGTGTCATCATCATCAGCAACGTCATCAACCGCATCGTGCCCATCATCAACAGCATCGTGGGCGTCAGCGTTACCGTCCTCATGATCGTCGTCGTCGTCAACGGCATCGTCATCAGCATCACCATCATCATCAGCAACATCATATCAAATTGAAGAATCACTACCACCACCATCAACATCACCATCATCACCACAACATATCACCATCATCAACAGCATCATCATCATCATCACCAGCCTCACCGTCGTCACGAACGTGCTCATCATCATCACCCAGCATCATCACCTCCATAACCATCGTTCTCATCATCCTCACCATCACGACCACCATCATCATCATCGTCACCGACATGCTCAGCATGACCATCATCACAGCAACATCATCGGCATCAGTTTCATCGCCATCAGCATCATCGACATGATTGTCAACGTCAGAGTTATCGTCCTCATGGTCATCGTCGTCTCCATCATCATCGACATCATTATCAGCATCATCATCAGCAGCCGCATCTTCACCGATATCATCGCCACCGCCACCATCACCATCACCACCACCACCAATCATAAGCATCAGCATCATCATCATCATGACCATTACCACCTCCTCATAACCGCCACCATCACCACCGCTCGTCACCACCAGTAGCATACATCATTATTATTATCATCATCATCATCATCACCATCACCATCATCCATCATCATCACCATCACCATGCATCGTCATCATCAGCATCGCCATAGTAGCACTGAAGAGGGAGAGAGGGTCTCATCCACATCGCCCCGCACACTTCTGCTTTCCACGTGGGGGGTCTCGAGAGGGGGGCCAGAAGGGGGGGGGGTCCGGGGGTGGGGGGGGTCGGAGGGGAGTCTCGGCGGGGGTCGTGGGTCGGGGGGGGGTCATGGGGTGATCTGAAGCCAATGGGTAGGGGAGGCTCCCCTACAATTGGTAGGCAATTGCGGATTCTACGGAACGGCGACATGGATGTCGGGATTAATGCTGGCTGCGTGGGGGCTTGGACGTGTGTATGTGGGAACACATGAGTTGGCAAGTGCTGTAGTAGGAGTGGGCATGCGCATGGGTACGTTTCACCCCCTTCCCACCAGTACCGCCACTCACCGCTATCTATCGCAGTGCAGCAGAGCCAGCGCAACCGCCAAACAGCTGTGGAGAGTAGGAACCATTGGGTGCGCGCTCAGATGCCGCTCTCTTTCCTCGTGCCCTTTGCTCGAACAGGAGCCAAGCAAACCGTCGCACAACAGCCAACTGTGAGCCATCGTGGCATGCCTTGCAAGGGCGACCAATCAGGCATGTCGCAGTCATGCCATCTCCGCTTCAGATCTTCGCCAAGTCTCGGGGAGGATGCAGCCCCAGCACCAAAAAAAACAAGAACGCGCATTGCTGCCGCCCTGTCACGGCAAAGGGGTGCACATGGGGACAAAGGGGCATACCGACAAAAAACATGCAACGACATGGCTGACCGTACTCGGTGATATTAGAACGGACCATCACCACAGCGAGGAACCAGGGAGGTCCTCCTGGCCGTGTGGCCCCGTGCTGCGTCGCCCCGCCGAGACGTCTCCCATCTCCGGCTCGGGGGGGCGTCGTGGACCTCCTCGCCGGAGGCGGCCCGCTGGTGCTCGTGCTGTCGCGAGTCGCTTGGCGCGGCGCCGCGCGCGCGCGGAGCCGCGGACCAGGAGGAGGAGGAGGAGGAGGAGGAGGAGGAGGAGGAGGAGGACGACGAGAGGAGGGGAGGAGGGGGGAGGAGGGGGGAGGGGAGGGGGAGGAGGAGGAGAAGGAGGAGGAGGAGGACGAGGACGAGGAAGACGATGAGGAGGAGGAGGGGTTGCACAGCAAGTCGCGCGGCTGACTTTCCCAGCGCCATGGCCGCCAATGTGTCGAGGGAGGTGCCAGGCAACGGGGCCGACACCAGCCGGATGCAGCCCACAGGTCGCACGTCCCCCCCCCTCCTCCATCTCCTCCTCACTCCTCCTCATCCTCCTCCCTCCTCCTCCCTCCTCCTCCTCCTACTCCCTCCTCCTCCTCCTCCTCCTCCTCCTCCTCCTCCTCCTCCTCCTCCCTCCTCCTCCTCCTCCCTCCTCCTCCTCCTCCTCCTCCTCCTCTCCTCCTCCTCCTCCTCCTCCTCCTCCTCCCTCCTCCCTCCTCCCTCCTCCTCCTCCTCCCTCCTCCTCCTCCTCCTCTCCTCCTCCTCCTCCTCCTCCTCCTCCTCCCTCCTCTCTCCTCCTCCTCCTCCTCTCCTCCTCCCTCCCTTCTCCTTCTCCTCCTCCTCCTCCTCCTC